TAGTCATTCTCATGTCCAATTTTTTCATGTTTTAGAAATTTAAAGTCTTTAATTGGTTTGCTCAAGGACATTTACAATTAAATCTTGAAATGGATATTTAAAAAATCCAAATTTGAAGTATTTTATCAATTTGCCATTGCTTTATTCATTTTTTCTTTTAAGACATTTTCTTTTTTTGTATATTTTATATTTGTTTATTGTGATTTTTTTCTTAAAAGACTCACAGTGTGTTTAAAGACCTTTCTGTTCATTAGACAAATTAAATGTTAGAGCAAACTAGATTAAATAAATTTTTTAATCCACATAACTGCTTTTTTTCCACGTTTTTATTTAGAGGTATAAACCTTAAAATACACAAATCATAACTGTATGGCTTAATGACTTTAAAGATATATATGCTCACATGTAATTGCCATTCAGATTAAGATATTTAACATTATTGTCACCCAGAAGATTTCCTCTTGCCCCTTGCCCCTCCCAGAGGAAACTACTTTCTGATTTCTGTCATTGAAAACTCATTTTGCTGGTTCTTGAGCTTCGTACAAATAGGATCATACAGTGTGTACTCTTTTGTGTCTGGCTTCTTTCACTCAACATACTTTTTGAGATCTGTATAGTTGCATGTATATAACTAGTCCTTTTTTTATCACTGAGTAGCATTTTATTGAATAGATCATTATTTGTCTATTCTCCTGCTGATGAACATTCGGGTTATTTCTAATTTGTGCCTGCTATGACTATAACTGCTTTTTAACAGTGAATCCCGGACTAGAGTGAGATTAAGAAAGTTATGTATCCAGGAAAGGATAAAAAGTTAGCAAACCTGAAAATATAAATTTAATTTTTTAATCAGTGTGATTTTTAAATCTCATAAATATTTATTTTTAGACATTTCAGTGCAATATGTCACAATATTGAAAATCCCAAAAGTAGTAACTTGAAATAGTTATAACCATCATATTATGGGCATCAGTATTAAATGAAAAGAGGTGATTATTTTCCAAAATATATTATTTTGTCATCAAAAATGTTTAGTAAATTTCTTTATGTGTGTGTTGCAAAAATACTGTATTCTAGTAACTTTATCTTTTGATTTTGTTTTCAGGCCCTACATATATCTGCCATATTAGACACGGAACCAGAAATGGATGAGCATTTTGTTTGCACCTTGTTTAATCCAACTGGAGGTGCTAGACTAGGGGCGCATGTTCAAACTCTGATTACAGTTTTGCAAAACCAGGCCCCTTTGGGGCTATTCAGTATCTCTGCAGTTGAAAATAGGTATAGTTTATTCATAAGGAAATTATCATGTCTGAAGCTAAGTAGGGAATATTTTTTGACATAAGAAAATGCAGAAGGAAATTGATCTCTGATATTTTCAAAGAACTTTTAAAAATGAACTGTAGAAGGTACTTTCAGAGAGGCCATTTGCTGTCTCATAACAGGGAGCATTAAAAACCTAAACATGTCCTGTATAATGGTGTTCTTAGAATTCCTGTTTTCTCAGAATTTACACTTTCGGGTAAAGGCCTACACTACTTTGTGTTTTTAAAATTAAAGAAAAGCAAGAAATAATATAAAATATACTTAGCTGCTCAAACCAAATGAATGACTCTTCAAACATATATTAACATGATTGTAGTTTTAAAATTTCCTCTGGAAGCTGACAAATATTTATATTTTATATCCTAAAATACTTTAACAGAACTAGTTTCATTAACATGATAAGAATTTCCTGATTCATTTTCTCCCTATAAAATGTTTTTGATATATGTGTGAAGAAATTTAGGGATGACAGCTTTATTTCTTTTTTAAGAATGTACAGTGTGAGGTTACTGACATTACTGATTCTCAATATTTTCTTATGATCATAGTATCAGAGTGTTGCATTTGTGCTTTTCAGAAAAATGTCTTCATAAATGAATATTTTTGAGGTTTAGAGTCTAGTCTTCTTGATGTATAAAATTTGTCAATCTCACCTTGGGTTGTGTAAATTTAAAAATGCATTAAGTATACGCTAGCAATGTGATATATATTTCAAATATGTAGAAATTATACTCTTTGTCTGCTTTCCACAATCCATTTGTTTCTTTTAGAGCCACCTCCGTAGACATCGAAGAATCCAACAGGACTGTGTATTTAAATGTATCACGCACTAATGGCATTGATTTGGCTGTGAGTGTGCAGTGGGAAACAGTCTCTGAAACAGCCTTTGGCATGAGTATGTTTCATTTCTTATGAGAAAATAATTCTGTAACCAAGAAATATTGCATGTGTAAGATTTACATTTTTTTCCAGGAATTGTATCTTATGGATCTGTCAAAAATGGCATTGATTTGGCTGTGAGTGTGCAGTGGGAAACAGTCTCTGAAACAGCCTTTGGCATGAGTATGTTTCATTTCTTATGAGAAAATAATTC